GCTAGGATTACAGGCGTGAGCCACCGCGCCCGGCCGACTTAAATTCTTAATCTATATTAATTTTTTGGGAAGCCAATCTACTTTCCAGGATTGTGGCCATTTGATTTTTATAAGTTTTTCCTAATTTACATAGCATTTTATGTATTAGCAGTACATTAAAAAATTAATCACAATAGTTTGGGAAATATACTAAGCTGCTTGCCACAAATAGTAAGACAAAACAAGGAAAGTAAGGGTAATGGAAAAGCGACAGGAACTAAGTAATTCAATGCTTTGTAAATCAGAATAAAAAATTAGAAATAGTGTTAGTCTATTTTTTTAAGCCTATATATACTATACCTGCAACAATTCAGCAGTCACCTAACAATAGGTTATAGACCCTGTGAAACTTAGAAATTGGTTAATGTGTGATGATACACATTCAGAGAAATCTAAGAAAGGTGATTTAAAGTGGTAAAACTGGCAAATTTACAAGCAGGAAGAAAAGCAGCTTTTAAGTAGTAAACAACCATTTTCAAATTTTGGAGTACCAGGGAAAGGTTTTGGAATTTCACAAGTAATAACTCATTGCAAGGTGAAGATAAAAAAAAAGAAAGCAAGAAAAATAATGATGACCTGTCACTACTGTTCACTGCTGCCAAGAATCCTACTGAAGTGTTAATACCACCATCAGTTAGTCTCAGACTTGAACCGTGGTTCAGGTCCCAAAAGAGGATAGTGGAAATGTCTGTCCTTGAAGTGAAAAAAAAAATCCAGAAGTAGTTAGAAAAAATTGTAAGGTAGGTTTGTTTTTCCAAAGTTCATTAAGCTAAAAATACAGACCAACTAACAGCAATTTATGGTCAATCACAGACTTATTTGAAAACTGAGTCAAAGCAAAAAATTTTTATTGGACAAACTGTCATTGGGTTACGGGCTTAAGCTGCAGATTTATCAAAAAGTACAAAATTATGGGTTTTTTTTTTGTTGTTTTTCTTTTTTTTTAGACACTGTTTCTGAGGAAAATTATATGGTTTTAAAACTTGGATTTACCTCTCTTGAGTAGTTTCATTACAAGCTCTTTGATTTGATTACTAACACCTGATCAAATGTAAAGCCATAAAATAGATTTTTTTTTTTTAAACCAAGGCATTACTTAAGGTATCTTTCCTGAAAATCAAATTCCTAGAGCTGGATATTTAGCAAAAAGTATAAAAACAGAATTATCAAGAAGCTAGGTGAATGGCTAGGTAAAATAGTCATGAAAAACACTCCAAGGACAAAGGTTAGGTTTATGTAATATGGTGTAATGGAAATATCACTAGACTATAAGCCAAATGACCTGGACTCCACAGCTGTATGCTAGAACTGGCTGTGTCCTTGGCCTTATACTGACCTAAGTTTCTATTTGTACACGAAACCTAGAAAACTAGAGGGCTTAGATCAGATGGTTTCTAAGGTTCTCTTACAATATAAACCATTACAATTTTAAGTCTTCTGAGAAATATTTGTATCATATAGCCCCACCAGGAATGTTACAATCAGATGGAATGTGAGTTTCTAAGAACACAGGTATACACATACTTGCAGTACCCAACCCCTAGGGCCTGTTAGGAACTGGGTGCACAGGAGAGCCACACAGCAGGGGTGAGCAGAGGGCTAGCCCCAAAGCTGCATCTGTATTTCCAGCCACTCCCCATCCCCTGTGGCTTGAATCACGGCCTGAGCTCCGTGTTCCCCCCATCCCCCTGTCCCTGTCCCTGGAAAAACTGTCTTCCATGAAACCAGTCCCTGGCACCAAAAAGGTTGGGGACCACTGGCAAATGGTAAAAATAAAAACGATAGGTTCTGAGGATACTTGAAGCCACCGTTTTCAAAAGACTAAATTCCCAGGGTTCTTGAAGTGGGAAAACCATTGGTCATAAACTGGTCTTTTCAACTGTATCAATACACCTGGACAACAACAGCGTTGGCAGCAAAGCTTGTTAAATACACATAATTCTGTTTTCTTGATAGCGCTGTTTTTTTTTTTTG